CACACACACACACACACACACACACACACACACACACACACACCTATTTGTCCCTCACACCTCGTCCCACACAGCAGCTCATCTTAGCACCAAGAGCCAACAGACAGAACTGTTATCAGAGCTCAATGGAGCCGACACACACAGCAGCTCCCATTAAAAGAGATGTGTGAGATAATTACATTAAATTTGAGCTAGAAAAACAAACATTTTTCTGTTTTCAGTCTGTCCAGAAAAGAAATTGTATATGCACATCTGGATAAGTTCATGTTTAATTCAAAATGTAGAAATATTGCAGTTATCAGAAAGGACCCCCCCCCCCCCCTTCCCCCCCCCCCCCCCCCCTTTCAATCACATGGTCCACCTCTCCTTTAAATGCTCGCAGTCAAACATGCAACAATTGTGATTACTGTATTTTGTATCAAATACTAAAAACACGAAAAACATGGTTTTCCAACATTGTGCAGCTGTATGTGTAATACATTATGGATTCTTGAAAATTCAGTCATGCCAAATAAAAAAGCATAACCTCTAAACTCAAATCAATTTTCTTTGTGACAGTATGCTGTTTTCTTGGCCACATCAGGAAGAAAAACAGCCTGGATCTGAATCCAGATGTCCTGAGAGTAAACATTTTAACTTCCTGTGCTACTAAACCACTACTGAGGGTCAGAGCCAATAAATCTGTGCAGTTTTACATCTTACAAAACTTCTCTTTAACCCAGTGGTCTCATTTGTGCACCTGGAAGCGACAGACACCCACAACAAACAGCCACTTCCTACTACAAAAATCTCGGCTGCACGTGAAAGAATCACTTGTTGAATTTCATTCAAAATTAGATCAATTATACTCGACAGTCGATAAACTCCTAAATTAAAGTCTCAGGAGGAGGTTTCTCGAATCAAAAATGTATACTGTATTATTCGGCATCTATAAATTACACCAAGCATTTTATTCTTTCACTTATAAGAACTTTTGTCTCAGTTTGCTCGCTGTTAGCCTTTAGGTGTGTAGGGTTAGCAAAGAAGCCACTCAGTGTAAAAATGACGGATTACTCCGCGGAGTCTGGCTTTCCTCTCCGCGTAGGAAAAGCGAAAGAGCCGTGGACCAAATACAAAATCGCAACAAGTGAGCCTTACCAGAGTTTGTTCATACTGCAGGGCTCGCTGGTCTGACCCTTCAGCCATGGTTCTGCTGCTTCCGAACCCCCCGGCGTCTGGATGAAAGCTTTTCGGCTTGAAAGTGACAGGAACCCCCGGCAGCGACGTCTCCGTGCGCGCGGTGTTAAAACATTGGACTGACTCAAGTGTGAGTACAGGAGTCCAGTAAAGGAACTCTGTCTACAGAGTGTACACCGGTTACAATAAACTCCTTCATTTTATACACAGAGTCCTCAGAAAGAAGTCCCGCCTCACACGTGTTTCTTATGGATTGACCCTCCCATCAAAAACTGAAGAAACTCCCTTTCTGGACCAAAGCTGAACAGAGAAATAAAATTACTTCGTAACACTTAACTGATGTTTCCCATAAGTCCCTGAAAATAAGGAATCGTCCTGTGTTTGAAACTCACTTTGTTCCTGATTTTAAAGTCAGTGTAATTTGTTTATAGATGATGAATCAGGTGAAACAGTGATTTTGTCTCATAATCAGTGCTGAAAACATAGTTTTTCTTTCAGGAGATGCACGGAAACGTTATTAATTTAAGCTACAAAGAAGGTTGTTTTAGTTGTTTTTGTCTAAACTACACAACTTTTTTATTTTTGAATGACATTTTTCAAACAAACTAAAGCAAACTGGCGGCAGCTCACTTGCTGATGCCTCTCAGCAAGGAGGTCGCCGGTTCAAATCCCGGCCCGGGGACCTTTCTGGGTAGAGTTTGCGTGTTCTCTCCGTGCATGTGTGGGTTCTCTCCGGGTACTCCAGCTTCCTCCCACAGACCAAAAACATGACTGTTAGGTTAATTGATAACTCTAAATTGTCCCTAGGTGTGAGTGAGACAGTGAATGGTTGTTTGTCTCGTTTGTCTCTATGTGTGGCCCTGTGGTGGACTGGAGACCTGTCCAGGATGTACCCCGCCCCTCGCACTGTGACTGCTGGATATGGGCACCAGTGACCCATGCGACCCTAGAAAAGGAATAAACTGGTATAGATAACGGATGAATGGATGGACTAAAGAAACTGCATTTGTGCACAAAATAAGCTAAAAGAAGCAAAACTGTTGTTATTTTTTAAGACTCTTTTAAGGTGTTTCTTTTTTTTTTGTTTGCCTGGTAAATGCTCAATTGCTCAATTTTCTTTGATGCCAGGAGGACTGCGACCAGTTATACATCGAGGAAACAAAGCAGCCACTGTTCAAAAGAATGTCCCAACACAGACGAGCTACATCT